TGAAAGCCAGATTTGTGAATTCTCTTCAAAGAGTAAAGTAGCCATCTATTTTTAGCCTTTTTGAATCGAGCAACAAACTTATCGACCAACTCATTATTGTATTGATAGAGTTTAGCCAAATCAGCAATCGATACCTCGGGTATCGTTCTATAAAATTGAGAATAAATTGTCTTTCCATCTCAACCCAAGTATGGATTGAATTAGGAGAAACATTTGTATACAAAGTAAAGGCAGTTTTTTATAAAGACAAAGTGAACAACCTGAGTCTTAGGAATTCATTTGGTCCTGTCTCTCCACATTGGGCAATAAATTGACCGATGTTTTCAATAGTCGATTGGTCATCTTCACCAGTATAAACGGCAAAATCGGGAGTTCTAAATTCTGTTAGGTATGGTATGTTGTCAACCCAATTAGGATGTGGCTTTTTATACAATGGTTTAACGATTCCTCTATCAGCACCTATTCGTTGTGCAACCATATCTGCCATTTGCTGAATATTTGGAAACTAAGAAACCTACCCTTATTGCCTCCCAGGTTCAGGGTAGATAGGTCGATAAACCTGACCTTCTTGCCCCCTAGGGTCATGATCTAGGTCTTGGTTATCGACGTTATGATTAATTGGCAAATTAAGCCTATTGTCGACGAGATTAATCTAGACTAGTTATTTCCAGTAACCAGATTAATTTGATTCGAACTTTGATGCCTTTGTAAAATCCTGACTGGTGATGGGATCACTTGGCCTAAATTGTTTCCACCGTTCAACTGACCAAAAGTTGGACAAACATACCCAGAAGTCACCGTATTCGGTTGGATCGGTATGGACTGATTGAATGTCCCAGGCCTTGAGATGATATCGTTGATCGCGTTAACAACCATCGGCTTGATCACATCAAAGAGATGTCTCATAATGTGATTTTCCATCTCATTTTGTTGTTGCTTGAATAACCTCTTCATGGTGGCCACCGAAATAGGATTAGGTGCCAAATCCATCATCTGCACTTCTGTAAGGTGTCCCGAGATGTTGACATTCCCACCTTGGCTTGTCTCTACTACTCTAGAAGCGGCTGAGATCTCGAACTGGGTGACCCTTTCACTGGGTTGTTACCCGCAACGTGGTTAGGCTTTGGGGGATTCCTTGGTCTTGGCATTGTTAATCCTCAGAATAAACCACAAGTAGTCTCACCAGGTATGCCAAAAAGATGTTTGGCCAGAATTTGTCTTGACGACAAAATACCTTTCACCAAAAGTCATTCTTTGGATTTTATAAGAGGTTCGAATGGGATATATCTCTGAAGCCCAAGAAAACCAATAGATATACTTTAACGGAATTTAACTGAAGTCAAAGTACAATGCTTTGCCGAAATTTAATTGACGACAAAATGAGATAACAACAAGATACAATGCTAGAATTTAATCAACTACAAAGATATGAGAACGAGAACTAAGATAACGTGCTGGAATTTAATCGACAATGGGATATCTAGAAACCGCAACTAAGATACAGGAATTGAAAGTTGATTGAAAGATAACGAGCTTTGTTTGTTTGTTTAGGGGGCTCTATACGGAGTACAATGTAATTATTTAAAGCATACAATCGACGGTTACAAATAGAAATTACAAACAGATGTTACAAGCGGTTACATTGACTCCACTACCTTGACGATTTCACCCACTCCACTATCTGGATGGTTTCATTGACTTCACTATATTGGCTGTTGTTTTATTCCACTACGTTGATAGTTACTTCTTTGATGGTTGCATCTAATTATCAACTATTTGTCGATTCCTTCAAGTTGTTGATTTTCAGATTGTAGATTCCTTCAAGCTGTCAGTTTCCTTGTTCATAAATGACCAATTGTTTGTTCTCATCAACGAAGTCTACCAATTGTCAATAATAATTAAAAGTTCGGCATTTTTTGTGTTAATAAATACAGATTAATTTCATTCACTTTCCTGTTGCTCAGGCATCGGAAACATTGAATTTGATCAATCTCACCTTGAGGTTCGCCACATTTTGAAAAATGGACTCAGAATATACGAGTCGGATTCATAAAAGAGAATTTTCTCTTGGGAACCTGCTGATTGAGGGATCGATGAAGGCAGGTGGAATATGCCCACATGATACGCCAATGCAATAGCACAGAATCACATACACAGCAACGTCAGTTATTAGCACAAGATCATGTAAGAAACTGAAGCTTATAAGATGGGAAATACATGAAAATTATAACTAGAAAAGATAATTAAATATAACAGTAAGGTCAGCCATTGCAACTTGTTAAGACCAACGCATATGGGATTTATTTATTTATTTATTTTTATCCAGGATTAAGTTGATTTACGTCGTTGGTATCAATTCCAACTCTTAGTCGCCTATCCCTATGTTGTTGTGTTTTTATTTAGGGTAAGGACAAGACATGTGATTCGCGACTGACATTTGTTTGCGCTGTAACTGGTAAATACGAAACCGATCTTTGTCTCTGACTTGAAAAGCTCGACTTACTTCATTCTTTTCGATTTTAAAATAGTAATAGGGATTTGCCACTAGCCCGAAGTTGCCATGGTCCGAGTAGCAATTAGTTAGTAATCTTCTCTTAATTCGTTTTGGCCATATTATTCTCTTAATTTAATTAAGTCGTTAATTCCCGAACTATCATTTTTGAATTGATAAAGATTACGGAAACTCATTACTCTCTTAGGGTGCATTTGTTTCGCAGAAAATGAATAATTTAAAAAATATTTTCTTAAAAATAATCACTCATATCACTTACAAAGTTGAACGAACAAAAAATATTTGCATTGGCCACGAAAATGTTAAAACATGAATTGTTGTCTGTAATGATAACATTTTTAATTGACTAATTATTTCAAGCGGCACAAGCGATCATTTTCAGAAAAATATTTTCAAAATAATTCATTTTCCGTGAAACACACGAAACCCTTAAACTCGTTTTGGCCATATTCTTCTCATCATGCTCAAACAATCTTCTCATTTCAATCACTCAGCCTTCTTCATAGAATTATAATCGCTATACTCAATTTCTACACAAGAAAATAGCGAGATAAAGATTACATGCCAAGAACATTCAGTTTTAATTTATTCTCTTTCCCCCAACTCAACGTCTCCCCTTGAATTGTATTCATAGACATTTGTCTTAAATGACCTACACAAACTCAAATCCTAAATATAGTTGCGAGTTCTACCTTCAATCGCTTCAGAGAAAAAGTTCCCAAAACAAGTCATTGTTTCCACAACAGTCTGCCATTCTGTGTATCTGCTGGTAAAAGGCAAAAACTATTTGATCTTTTGTAGTTCTTTTTTGCAGGATTCTCATACTTAAAAATCAGCTGTGAAATACTCTTATTTGTAGATGCTCGCCATCACACATTTGGACCATTCACTTCGTTGGTAGCATGTTCGCCTTTTACAATCAGGTCCATCCAAATTTTTTTGACTATCAGGTCATACAGTTTGTTCATCATACACAATTAGGTTCCTTCAAGTTTATTGATATTTTTCATGTCTTATAGTCTGTTCACTTTTTACTGGTCCATCCGACCTCTTTGACAATCTCACATCCTACAGTTTGCTCACCCTCTGCAAATCGGTACATCCAAGCTTACTGATGCCCTCGTGCCTTGTAGTTGATTCACCTTCCAGTAGTCCATCCAAATCCTTTCTACTTCCAGTAGTTTGTTAAATATATGCGAAATTGTCTTCGATATATATGCATATAGGATAATTACCTCACTGATGAACAAAAAAATCAAATTTTAAGTGCATATAGAATAGATGAGTATGGACAGCGTATTGAGGATGAAAATGGACAAATCATTCAAGATGCTGTCGATACACTCATCTTCTCTATATCACTTCACTTTACAGGAAATCCTTCACACATAAGAGAGAGAAATCAAGATCATTTATCAAAAATGAAAAGCAAATTCTTAGGGGATTCAGAGAATATAAAGACCTTTTCTTAGAAAGAGTCTTAGTTAGTGCAGATTGTAATGAACCTTTATACATAATACATATATACACACACACATCCAATAATTTGTTACTTTCTACAAAGTCCTTGCAAGCTCTGCAACGTATTTATGGTCGAACAACTTGTTCACATTCGACAATATACTGAAGGTCCTTTCCACACACACTAAAATGCACATGATCCTGTTATCAACACCATTTGCATATGATTTTATTTATGTGTAAAAGTTGTACCTCTGATACACTCAAATGCACGTATCAATACCCTTTGATTATTTTATGATTTTCAAAAGAAATGCATTGGAGAGACTTTCCCCGGTAATCATTTTTTTTTAATATGAATTACTTATACATTCAAATGCACATATTGGCGACCTTTGAGTATAAGTTCACAATAACTAATGACAATGCGCACATGAGACGCGCGATCAAGCCAAACAGCTCTAGGTTAAACCACATACTAATTTTTCAAAAAAAAGGCTTGTGCACCATAGCCCTAGCTAGAGCTCACCATAGCCCTAGCTAGCTCACCTTAATCTTCAATTTGAACGAAGAATTAGAACGGGTTACGCGTATAAAATACTGAATAAATCATGGGGGTCAAAAAAGAGGAGAAGAGAAAAATATACGATCCTGGGGATGACGAAAGGAAGTTTTGGAAGGACTCAAAGCAAAGATACGAAACTAGAGAGAGAGAGAGAGAGAGAGAGAGAGAGAGAGAGAGAGAGGGGGGGGGGTTTGGTGGACCCAAACCCTTCGCCGAATAACGACACCCATGACCGCGTTGAGAGCTGCATGAATGGCAACCTCAACCTCCTCAATTAATTCTCTCTCCCTCTCTCTCTGTCTCTCATTTCCCCCTTCGTTTTCTTGTTTTACGGTGTTTCTCCGTTTTTTTATTCAAGAAATAATGTGGGTATAGGACAGTCTCTAGAGAGAGAGAGAGAGAGAAGAGGAGAGAGAAAGAGCATCTGCTAGACATGTAAGAGCCTTTCGGTCGCTGTGCTCT